AATCTATGAAAGGTGCAGGAAAACAACGTGGGACGGATTAGCGGATTGGAAAGGGAGCCATACAGGTTGCACGTTCCTAATTATACCTCAGTGATAGGCCACTGGCGAGCAGCAACACTAAAAAGCCTACGTACGCTCGCCAACTACTTTTTTAATTCTCTGATGGGAATTTTCGCAACTTTAAAAAAACTAAAAGTGTCGATTCGTCAGGCATGGCAATACATTTGATCACCACATCGGGCGAATACACCATCGGCGCATGAGTAAAGATTAGCAGGCGTAGACACGCAAGTCACTAATCAAGTATGAGACTGAATACAGTCCCAACAAAATAAAATGCACAACGAAGCCGCCTGTGCCGTTTATCAATTCCAGAGATGACCTAACTGTCACTGCCATCAATCCCCTACATCAGAAAATGCGTTAAAGCTGTTCAGTTTGGTCCCGTTAGACTTGTGAAACCAAAAGATTTTAATAATGTCTTCTATGCTAAGTATAAACAGATAAAAAAGACCTGGAGACAATATATAATGCTTAAACCTTGAGAGTAAACCGTTTTTTTTCATTTCAAACGAATAGTAACTTTAAAAGCTTTGATCATAAATATTTGCGTCGACAAAGTTATTCCCAACCAAGCCTTGCCAATTGCCACAAAAAATTAACCGGAAACTGTGCAAACGCTGCCCTAATACCCAAGGACTTTTTATCTAAAAAGACATTAGTTCAGCGGAAGAAAGTTAATTCCAAAGCAACAGTGGAGAGATCGCTACGGGGTGTTGCAAATTTCTACAGCACGTGACGACACTTCAGTTGAAGAGACGGTATTGGCTTACGATTGAAAAAGGGTGCTATTCTGAAAGGCTTCATTGTTGCTACACGGTAAGATTGGTGGCAGTAACTCACATACTTTCGAGAAATAATAAATTTTAGAAACGTTGAACTTTAAAAACGTAAACGAAAGGGGGCGGTCAATGAGCGATCAGTCTTACTACCGAGAAACCTTTGTAGAGTACGTATGACAAGCGTGTTCTGGACGCTTCCTGTCCAAAAGCGATCACTTTGTCGGTCGAATCGCGACGTGCCAAGATTATCTAACTTTGTAAGAAAGCTACCTGTAAACGAAGGAAACTTAAACAGTGGAACTCGTACTTGATATGGCTTTGACCATGCCTGATGTAGTCAGCCTCAACGACGTCACGGATTGTACTTCTCCACACGTGACGAGTTGCGGCAGCGGATCTGGAAAGCTCAACCCATTCTCTTCTCCAGCGATGGAGACCGAATCCCGAAGATCCAAGAACCGCTTCTATGTCTTAACGAACTGTGTCGAGTCAGGTCTTGAGTTGCCCTCCTTTTCGGCGCTTTCAGGTTAGCAGGTGCGCCGGATCGAAAACAGTATATCAGAGCTCGTTAGGTGGACGACAGAGAACGTGCCGAAATCACCTCAGTCGTCTTTCTTGGAGGACCTGTAATATCTTCGCGACTAGACTAGTTTCACTACTAGCGGCCCATTGGTAAAGGAAATAATGGCGGTGGTTTACCTAGTTTGAGCTCGAGACCGGACAAAGCCGAAAAAATAGTGTATGGCTACATGACACACTAAACTGTGAGCAAACGATACAAGATAAACGCCCAGGTGCGTGTCTCGCCAATATTCTGCCGCTGCATGGCACAGCTGAGGAGCTCGGCTCATCAGTGGGTTTTCCAGTATCCTCTATGTACTTTCTGGTAAATAGTCCACTTTTTAACTTGTTGCTTTTCCATTTCCATTTTCTCCTTAACGTGGATTAATTCCTTATCAGCTAAGGTCTATAAGGCATGACAAAAAGTTGATAATAACTGCGCCAAAGCCAATAAACCACAGCGGGGTAACCGCATAATAATCATTAAACTGGCTACAGGCAGCCAGAAGTAAATGTTGGTGTTACATGATACACCATGCTGGCGGCACAGGTACTATCTTAAAGCGGTAGACGGCTTTGGCAGTATTTTGACGTTCGTGAATTACAACTCGACCAACTTAGCAGGAAACAACAGCGTTTGAAGGAACTAAGTGTAGTTTTCATCGAAAAGACGTCCACAAAAGCGGACACACAATTTGGCCTTTAGTAGCCGAGAGGACGCTAACCTTACTGACCGGAAGGCAGGCGTTCCATCATCGAGAGCATGGAGCCCGTGAGTAGATGTGGCCAGTATGCGGGCCAAAGAGAGCTCTATAGACCACATGTTAGTCACACTGTCAAATATGAATGAATAAAAAAGGCCAACGAAATGCCATGATCCCCAAAACAGTCAGTGTCCTTGAATCATCCCAATATATCACTCGGCAGGATTATTGGAAATAAACTAAGGAAGGTGACGAGGCACTTTTATGGCCTTTCCCGAGAGAAGAAAAGCTCACCGAAATGGAGTCCACGGGGTTTATCGAATAGGTAAGAGGTAGTTTGACAAAGGCTTCATCGTGAGTGCAGAGAGTTGCTACCCGACGCTGCTCGCCCACATCGTTGTGTAGTTTCACCTGGAAGCGCAGAAAGTCCTTGAGGACGGTTTCATCCCGGAAAATGACGCCGGCCACGGTGCATGCAAAGATTCGCGGTCGAAGGCTGGCGCGTACGGCTTCTGGGTCAATTACTCGAATGCTGTAAGCCTGCAGGAAATAACAGCAGGGTGTTAAACACTCTCAAAAATTGAAATTTCAATGGGCTTATCAAACAAAAAGAATAATTTGGAAGTAATTACACCTACAGATTTTAAAGGCCAAGGTCCGAAGAATAGCAGTCAAAAACCCAATACGTCACAGAATTGGAGGTTACTCTGACGAATGTTATAGGCATACACTGTAGGTGATTCGCACTAGGTATTGTAAAAGTAGTAAGTCGTCCTCCAAAGTAAACTGCCACTACAAAAATCATTACACTGAAGTAGACTAACCAAGACGGTTTAAAGCAAAAGGACCACGGCTTGTGTTCGTGCTAAATTCCGGAGGAAATTAGAGAATTCAGGTGTTAGTAGAACGTTAAGTTTAAAGAACGACCGCTTGATAGGTGTAAAAGCACCAAAATAACAAACCACTGATTCCCATAGAGGAGAAAATAGGAGGTTCAAAAGCAACTAGGCCTACCAGCGAGACTACTCAGTGACAACTAGTGGATGAAACGAAACCGGAAAATTTAAGTCACACACTTTAAAACTATACCTGTAATTTCCATTTTATATGTGCTAGTAGGGTATTCGTTTACTTTACAACCGAAATTAAAGGACATAGCGCAGTTCGGTAGCCATGCACTTTGCTCCTCCTATACTCTATGCAAAGGGTGGAATAAATCGAGCAACATTTGTATGGGACCACGCGTTGAATGGAGGTCTCAAAATGAACTATGTTTTGTAATTGGGAGTTAAATTCCACCCAGGAGAGCAAAAGGATGCGCCATTTTTTCCCTTAAAGCGTCGGTCGAGATTGGATCCC